TCTCCCCGAAACGCTATCACAGTTCTCGGTGCGCCTTTGCAATCAGACATGTGCGAAGATTCGCAGCGAGTGAATTAGCACTTGGGACTCAGCTAGATTTAGAGCTTCTGGGAGAACTATCACTTTCCCCTGGGCACTGCGGATAGACTTTTCGCGATCACTAGCTCGGTACTGTGCTGTAGCAGCAGTGCTTCGTTCAGTTCTAATATTGGGATATTTATCTCATTCAGTGATGCTTTTGGTCGCACAGAGTGGATTGGGTGGTTCACGCTATTGTATTGTATGGATTATTTGCTGTGTGCCGTGGTATGGTGGATTGTGGTGTGTTTATTCTGACTTCGACTTGTGATGGCGCAGGAGCTAGGAAGCCCTATATCCTCTGGTGGCAGTGGGGCTGTTTATTTCACTCAGTGTGGGGCCTTCGACGCTTAGTGTAGTTATCGTTTTATAAATGTGGGGCTTTAGCAGCTGATAATAAGAGACATTTTACACCGCAAACACCGCTTAAAAGTTTTTAGTTTATCCTCCAGGTATCCAATGAGAGGCACAGCACTCTGGGAGCACAGTGTTCAATTGTGTGGCATCTACTCGGTGTGCAGTGCCATATACGCATTAACATGTCAGCCTGTATACTGACATCAATAGGCGGTTCTCTGTATGACATGCTTTAATATTTCAGACCGAATGAAAGAGGAAAGTCGAAATAACTACATGTTTGGGTTCCTGTCTGGTTACCACTTATTCAGACTGTCATGTCAAACTTTATAAGACAGACACATTTATCTGTGATGGCTAGGTAAACTTTCAGTTGTAGATGAACTATCAATTGTTTGAGTACTTTTTACATTGCTGTGACTCGTTTATCGTAGACGTTGTCTATAAACTATTTATTTCCTCATTAAATAGTATACAGGCCGGTGAGTGGTGAATAATGTAGTTTTCATAACGGTAACCTGTGATTTTGGTGTCCTCATATGGACCTTGGTTTTGGGTCGTGCTTTTATGCTGCTACCAAATATCACGTCAATGTAACACCTGCTTAAGTGACACGTCACCGTCAATAAAGGGATACCGAGCGATTGCGTTTTTAGCCGGATTGTTCGGTCCTTTTCGCTGGGGAGGTGGAGGGGGAGGCATGCTCATCAAGCAAACGCAGAACTGAGAACTTATTTTAAGTTGGAATCCAGCATACCTAAGTACCATTTAACAGTTATATGAGATGGTCTGTTATCATTTACCTACATATATGTTTCGTGCTAACGGCTTCGAATGTATATAAATGCTGCATTTCTTCAGCTATTTTTCACTACCACCCACAAGTCATGGTGCCTGGCTTGTTGCATGGACCCGTAATCGTCATCTCCATCCCCGCCTCCGACATACACCCGTATCGCAAACCCTCCGTGCTCCCCGCCCTCCCTGGTTCCTTCTCTCCCTCTCCTTTCCCTTCTCTCCTCTCTCCTCCTCTCCCCTATCCTCCCTTCTTCCCTCTCCCCTCTCCATTTTGCTGCCGGCGGACCACGCTCGTGGTTCGTGCCGATCGCATGGCCGACGGCCGTCTATTCAAACTTTGAAGGTCAGCTTCGGCTGCCGGGCAACAGTGTGGCGAGTTCTCGTGAACCAGTACTCTCTCCGTATTGTGCCACTGCGTCAGCCATCTCCGATTGAGATGGAGACCACTCTCAGCGTCAAAAACCAGACTAACTTTAACGTCGATTTCCCACGTCCCAATCAGTCAATCATTCACGGTCATAACGTCAACCCCAGGGCAGTGATAATCCCACGAACATTGTGAAACGCACCGGCGGGTGAGTGCCGCTGGCCTGGGGTGTGGCGTGGCGTGACCCTCTGGTCACCGTGAGAGTTACGTGTCCACGCCCTGGCCTGGTCAGTGGTCACAGTTCTCACGGGGGCCTCGGTCACGCGGTGAGCGAGCGTGTGAGATTCTGTACGCCTGGGCACGTGCTGAAGGGTCGGCTGAGCGCCCGCCGGGACGGAATGCCTTGGGTCTTACTCATGGCTGGTTGAGAGTAGGTATAACTTGGCGGTGTGCGAATGATCGCATTGGTTTTTAATTGATGTTTTTGACACGAAACATAGATTCATTAAAATCTATTAAATTTAAAATCATGCAAGCGAAAACTAACGCTAGAGAGTCGACTAGGGCATCCATGACCTAAATGTAACACCCTTTCCCTGCCAAGCCTGCCTTGCCTCCCCCACCCGGACGCAAGTGGAGGCGATCGGTCTCGACAATTAGCGACACGGTAGCGGCTCTAGCCGACAGCGGTGTTCGGATCGGCCGACCACGGTCCGTCATTTCAGTGATTGGTCGGTGTCGCCGCAGAGTCGGTCGGGCGGGGTGACAAGATGGGGAAGGTGCAGGAGCCTTTACAGGCAGGTTGGAGATAAAGTTGGAGGGCTTACTTGGACGTTCTTGTGTGTACTTAACCCAAGTCAGGTGCCCGCTTGGTGGTAATCTGAGACGTTATAACTTATATGTAGGCAAAAGTAAAATACATGTCCGACAGATGAGCATGGTCGGGCGTGAAGATCGAAACAGACAAAATGGATCAGACCTCACCTAAACGATCGGTATTACCGTCATTATCTATGCCGCACCCATTAGCTATTTAGCCCTGCCCGCCCGCTGATTTATCGAGAAAGCCCGTTCGTATCAGAGTGTCTGTTAAATCGCCTCAAACTTCAGAGGGGTCTGAGCAGGTAGGCGGGGACCCATCAATCCAAGGGGAACTCAGGGGCTACCTCACTCCTTTTGAAATGGAAGGGCGCCTTTAGTTTCACCCAACGTCAGCTTTCTATGAGCGAAAATTGGGACAGCGAGGACTTGGGATGGAATTTGGGGGTACAGAAAATATTCCTGTTCTCTGGGGCGAATATGTAGGTGGATACTTGTCTGGGGTAGAGTTTTACACGAAATGCTCCCGGCTGCTAAGAGACGGATATATGATACATAACTTTGTTTCGCGATTGCTGGTTTTGAACTGGGCAATTAGTTTATTTCAAGCGATTCTAATTTATGGCTACCTAAATCATATCACGCAAGTTTGAGCGAAGTTCTTGTGGTTTGTGACTTCAATCAAGACTTCCCTCACGTGATTTCAGGTCACGGGTTTTCCATGAGGCTCAAACGAGCTCGGAATAATGATGACAGGCAGTAAATGCATTAGGAGGCGTCCGGCCGCTAACTTTTCTAAGTGAAGAAGCTAACTCCGAAATCATAATCAGTGGAATAGTCAGCCAAGCTAGTTACCCGGCCAGTAACGCTGTCCTTACGCATTTGTATCCACAGAAAGTCTCTAGTCCACCTAGGTATGAGGATTTAGAGACACTGTAAATTCGAACGTTTTCTCCCCCACCCCACCCCAGCTCTCCTTATGAGACTCTCATAAGTCTTTTTTTTTGCCTCACGTCAACTTCGATGGTTTGCGATCGAATTCGAGTCTCGTGACCCAAGCCGTGAAATGCCGTTTTCTGAGCGTTCGAGTCGTGACTGTCCGCGTAGCTGTAACAAACGCAACAGTGACTGGCCCGGGAAATTCGTGGATTGGCGGTTATTTTACGCCTAGTTGTGATTTGTTGCCCGATGTTAGAGCATGTGCATGCGACCATTTATGGATTATCTTATGAAATGCGGACACGTCCACTAATATCAAGACCACGCGATTTGCAATGATGCAACTTAATTGTTAGTAGCATTGACATTCACTTAAAGGAAATAGTTCACTTTCACGAAATTATTTTTTTGCAATGGATTTATGATTTTTTATGTTCAAAATGATCAGCAAAGAAAATAAAACCTATTTATAACAAAAGATTATTTTCTATATTTTGATATAAGAAGAACTTTTCAGTTTCTGTAAGGCACAGGCGATCCAGTATGAAAAGAGCATGGGTTCCGAAAATTCTTCAGAAACTAGAGAAATTATCGCGGCCACCGGCATTTGGGCGATCTGCTGCTGCTGAATGTCCTTATTGATCAGTACGAGAATTTCTCTCGAGTTCTCGTAGATAATTTCACTAGTTTCTGAAGAATTTTCGGGACCCATGCTCTTTTCATACTGGATGCGAATATATGCAAGGCACACATCCTCAACGCAATACACCTTTTTCGGGACGAGAAATAGAATATCTTTGCCTAGGGTGATCGTTGGGCTGTAAAAGCTCCTGATTTATGCTCGTCTCAGCCCAAGCTACGGAACTGCTATTCCAGTTCAAAACCCATGTTAAAAAGTGAACTATTTCCTTTAATGGCTGCTTACACGCCAGGGTATAGCGATGTGTGCTTTCTCCTCTTTCGGGGTTAACTGATTCGGTGAATTGCAATTTACAATTTGTCCGATTTGCGACAGTAACCACAATAGACACGTTGCAGTTTGTAATGAATAGGTATGCATCTTACCTATTAATAATGCAGGTTCAGATGTGAGACGCACGCCCAGCACTTGCGACCAGACGTAAGTGCTGGGCGTGGTATAATGCATGTCATTGTATGTATAATCACCATGGATTGGATCCGGACTGTGTAAGACAGTTCCCAAAAGTTCTCTCAGAACCTCCTTATCTACTAGCCATCGCGGTACATTTGTCTGCTTCACTCGTCATTTGGAATGTCACCCCGCTTCCCCAAGCGACCTCCCGAGTCCCGATAGTCAGTGGCTACTGGCTGTCCCACTTCTCCAAGCTTCTCTCCATTCTGAAATCGATGTAGGTACAGATCCACTGCCTTCAATGGATCCGAAGTCGAGCCACCTGGCATGCACACCTCGTGCGTTTCACCGGTACTATAGGTAATTAATTTCCAGCCGTTTGGTCGGCGCGCATGAAAACCAAACCCGCCAAGGCAAGCCTGTTGTCTTTGGCGGCCATCTGTGCACTTTCCTTTATTGAAAGCGAACTTGATCCCATTTCTGCATTAGAACCTACTCATACGGACGTTTCGTTCACCTGTCCGCTAACCGCTTCCTGTCAGACGCGGGTTGGATCGGCAAAAATAAATGTATTTACAAACTGATTAATACAATCGTATGCTTAAAGACAGTCACGGACGTCCACATACAGTAATCACACCAAGTGCGGGGCGATGCAGGGGTCAGTTCCTGCTACACTGCCCTGTCAAGCACCGTTCCGCGCGCGCACACACACATACAAACAGAACACACGTTTACAAACGAAACGGGCGGGGCCACTCACCCCGGTGGTTCACAAATATGCCGCACTGGAGCTACTTAGAGTTTGGAAACGAAGTAGCGACCGAGAATCTACAGTCCGGCTTCATGAAGCTAAATTATCAATCCTACATGATCGTAGGATCAAGCTAATTTCAACGAGTTCTCGGAATTCTTTTGGAGCTAGTAGTTTTACAAAGTGTTATGCACCAGGTTTAGAATAGCTAGTTTAGCTTCATAAAGACGAATTGGGGTACAACTCTCAGCATAGGGGAATAAGATAAATGTTGAAATACGCATGCATACCACGGTGAGCTGGGCGGCATTGCCTGATATTGTTTGCGCGACACAGCGGAGGACGGTCATTGCATCGGGGAGAACCGTGCTATCGGGGAGAACCGTGCTACTTGCCAGGGGTTCACACCGAGCTAATTGGTCGGGGTTGTTCGGGTACGAAGCTAGCCAAGGTACAAACAGCCGGGTACAGTTAAGGCTTGGACGCTTCAGTCAGGCGGTGCTGGGAGGCCCGAAAGCCTCAGACGGGCCACGACCGAGCGCTGGTTGGGCACTGTTGCTGATATGTAACTATTCGAGCCGGAGCGGCGTAACGGGCCCCGACCGTCCGCTATGTACACACAGACACACACACACACGTGTACACAAACGCTACAGAATGTGCGCACGACGGCGGACGCACAGACGCACGCGGAAACATTGTGCGCGTACACACGCAGAAACGCACGGTGACTGCGGTGGCTGTGGAACGGAAAGTGTGACTTGACAGACGGTCATGTCATGTGACGTTAGGGCACATCAGCGCACGTCACGAGCCGTCACATCGGGTCACCTTGTGTCACGTTATGTGACGCAACGGGCGACAGCAGTACGTGACGTGACGCGGCGCGACACAGCTGACAGACAAGCTCACTGGCGGCGACAGGCTGGTTCAAAATCGGACGTCGAGTTCTCCCCTAACGCAAAGCTAGCCAGCAGTGCAACAAACACCCAACCACAGCGCTTGTAGAGCGGACGGACATCGAACACACTGACACTGCAAACGTTAACAACATCAGCACCCTCGCTCGCATACATTCAGAACACTAGCCGACGCACACTGCCTAATCACGGTGATCATTTTCCAATCGAAGCCCGGGGCTTGGGACGTTACGCGCACATTGGTCCGTTTATTTATCATGGCCCCAAACCAGCGAGAGAGCAGACGGGACGGCACGAAGCGACAGAACGATGACCAGCAGGTCAGAGGTGGAACGTCATACTGGGAATGTCGTTCGGGGGCCCTACCATCCGCAGTGAAAAATCACGCTGTTGTGTAAGCGTACCGCAGTTGCGCACGCGTTCTTGCGTACGAGGAGAGACCACGTTATGGTGTACAATTTATTTACAAAGGAAGCATTTGGCACTTGAATGTTAGTGATTAGTACGGAAAATGTCACTGGAATGCTTCATTGGAAAATGAGCAAATTAGGGACACACTAACAGCAGATAAAAAACTGCGGCACGTTTAACTGTAAAGTTATTGATTAGCACTATTAGTCTAGCCTGATCGCAGAACTGTCTTTAATTTTGTAGCAACGATACAATCTTGGTATCCTGGTAGTAACAACCACAATTACAATGAAGTGCTCCGATAGACAAATCTAAGTGGACATTTGGTCCGTAATGAATACATGACCACAACACGGACTGCCAACGCACGCTGGCATCGCTACGCCTAACATTGAACGTCAATGTGATATCCGCCGTCTCTCCACCTAAGCTGCACAGCTGACTGACCGGCGGCTCGCCCACACCGTGCCGGAGACAGGATATCTCCAGTCCCGATCGTACAGAGACAACGGCATGATGCGCTTGTTGGACTCTGGTGTTGATCTGAGCTAGCTGGATCGCTGGTCTGCACTCGGTTTGGAGGTTACTCTCCTTCGCCGCCAACCGTTCCAACAAACTCCATGAACGGACGCTTTCTTGGGATCGCAGCTCGCGTTTCGTCCTTCAGTTACATCCACAACTCTATCTCACCAAACACTGACCAGGGGAGCCTAGCCCCGCCTTCCCCATCTCTCCACACCCGCTCGCTCTACATATTCTGCACTATCTGGTGCCGCTGCTTGAAGGTGAGGTTGTCGTTGCGCGGGTCGTGACGCTTCTTGCTCTTGAGATACTCGCGCATCTCGGCAGCAGTCATGTTCAGCTTGAGGCCGAACTTGTCCGTTTCGGCGGCCGTGGAGCCCGACTCGGCCGATTTGGCCGACTCGACGGTGCTCGTGGAGCCGGCGGACGGGGCCGGCGACGGCTGGGTGCGCTCAGAGCCCGACTCCACCTGCGGCAGACGCGGCAGGGTGGCGTCAGTGGGATGTGGGACGTAAAACAGAGATGAGCGAGTAGTAAGATGATTAACAGTAATCCCATGTAAGTTCATAGATCGTTTTACAAAGTGTCCTATTTAGTCCGCAGCTCCTAGCCAGCGCAAATGCGGGCACTTATTGATAGGGAGCCTGTTCAGCAGCTTTGGTGAACATCATTATGAACGGTGAAAATAGTAAAGCAGTCAGCGCAGAACCATTTTCCGGGAAGATATAAAGGATTTGTGATTAGTTGGCTGGGAATTTCATGACAGGGAAAATTGCATGTGATTGTTGAGCAACAATCATGTTTTATTCAGCGCTCTAACAATCCCTAGCCATCAGAATCGTGTGCATCCCACCTTTCCGTTTCCACAATTTTCCCCCAAAACCAAACAATAAACATGACTCACACAACCACAACCCATTACGCCCACACACCACGTGGAGCGAACAGCTGGTAGCCGGTTGGGGCGAAAGTATACCACCAGCCGCCATTGAGAGCACATGCCTCGTCCAGCCGGCGCGCGCGGCAAACCGACAAACCAGCTGGACAATCGAACGGCAGGTGGGACTGGCGGTTGGAACCCGGGCCTACCCAGCCGGCTGGGCACGTTAGGGGACAGGTGATGGGTGGATGTGAGTCACAAGGCCATCGAGACGGGGTCTCCGTGGAACCGATGCCCGGGGGCGATACGTCAGACCTGCGGCCTCTGTCGGGACTCCCATGATCGTGATACGGCAGGTGGCGTGGGACACGGGGGAATGTTACGCGGAATGGGAATGGCGCAGTGAGTGCGACACTGGTGGCGTATCGCTGCTTGGTGCGTCTCAGCAATGTCGAAGGCGAATGTGGATGGATAAGACTGTGATATGGTTCGTGGGAGTTCGCGAACAAGATAAGAGTTCGTCTATCATACAGGTAGGCATTCAATCACATAACAGCACATCCACATTGAACCCAATAGGTACTTGAGGAGGTAAGTGTGTATCAATAATCAGGCTATCATTGAGGATAACCTAAAGCACGAGACACGTCAGCCGCGGCCGTTCCGAGGGGCTCGGAGTCGGATGGCGAACGGAAGGAAATCGCGGCAGGACTGAGTCAGGCTCTCACTGAGTCTCACATCCTGTGTCCAGTGGCTGTCGGCCCGGAGACAGTTCACGCCCAGCCGGACGGAAACAGTGACCCCGTTGGTGATTGGCTGGTGCGAGTGTACTGGATGAGGCGGGATTGAGACGGTCGGTAGCAGAGCGAGGACAACGGAAGCGCATTGGAGAAAAGGAGATATGAAAGCTATCGAATGCGACGAACGGCTGGTGTCTAGGGAGGAACAGTTATTAGACAAATGATGACGAAGGAAACACTGAATGATAAGAAGCAGTCAATCATATTTAGTGTTGAATGTGAGCTCTTTTTAGAGCAATAAGTCAAGTTTTATCTCAGAACTGTGGTGAAAGGTCCAAAAATCTTTACTTCGCCCGTCTTGGGTACTAATGCCTACTTTGGATCATCCAGAAACCCCGCCCTTCCACCCAAAACAACTCAGCTGGTCATCAAGATAACGTTCACATTATAAGACACTGCAGCGCCACATCCCCATTAGGAAAAGCTAAGCCAACTGATCCTTCCCTCGGGGACAATGAAGCCTCATAGGATCCCGCCTCCGACACACTCCGTGCATTACCTGGAGCGAAGTGTCAATGGTCGGCGATGAGACCTTGCTGTCACCGGCCTCCTTTTCAGCCGGTTTCTCAGACGGCTTCTCAGATTTCCGGTTGGCGCCCTGTGAAGCCGGATAAAAGGCGTCATGGTCTCAGTGGTGAATTGGCTAATAAGCAGATGCGACTAATGAAATGTGCGAAAGACGGTGGTGTATGGACGCGGCGTAAAAGAGCAGCGTAGAGCAGAAATTACTCAGCGCTGGTACGTACTTATAACTAATTTCTGTCGTAAAAGCAAGATACAGGTAGATATTAGTGAGTCTTATGCCAAGTTACACACATCCATCAATATCATAAAAATAGGGAATCATACGGCATTAAATATAATCATTTGCATATTATACATGTACCGAACTTTAAATCATACCTAACAGGGAAATTATAAATAACGTTACGATTAGGGAAAATATCGGTAGGCGTTCACCTAAGGACTGAGGACTACAGGGCAGGATGAAGATTCATTTTGTAATTTTAATGTCACAAGGTTACACCAAGATGAAAGTTGTTGCTGAATTACCCAAAAGCAATACTGAGAAAGAGCACCGTTTTGTTCGTTGATTGTTTCTGGTAAGATTAAATTACTTTCGGCTTATATAGTTGTTGAACTCCGACTTCGAGAAATGTTTATTATACGTTATAAAGTGTACAGACTTTAGAGACCGGTTAAGTCTCCCAGCGGTAAAACAAATACACAGATAAGCAGAATTTTTAGGCTACAGTGCTATCGTCACCGGAAGTCCTGTCGTTATGGCTTATGGAAAGGGATCAAATCGTTTGATCTTTTCTGGCCACATCGAAAGGATGTGACAGGCCAGTGGAGCCAAATATTCCTCCTCAATCATCGATATATACGGTGTCTGCGTCGAGAAGTTCCATCTCTGAGATCAGAGACCCGGTAGGATCACCTGTCGGCTCTGACGCCGTGCATCTGGTGGTCTCCCCACGGCTGGTGGTCACTCTATAATTCACAGCATCGGAGCGCCTCAATTCGGTTGACAGGGGCGTGGGGCGTTCTGAAGAAGGTTGATGGACAGGACTCCGAGACTCACATAACTACGAGGTGATTTGCGCAGGGTAATGTCCAGGCCAAATATGGATTGAAGGGCGTGTTTCAATAGGCCAATACAGCAATGTCATGAAGATTAATGATGTAACATGTTTTAGTGATACACAAATAGTTCCACAGTTGTGAACAAACAAGTGAACAGCGACATTTGTTAGCACAAAGTACCCATCTCCAGAAGCGGTTAGACACACATGAACTCAAGCTTAGCCAGTAATGAACCGACAGCACAACACGACTGCCGCACACAAACACATAAACCCGTCACCAAGCACATGTATCCGCACACCGCTGCAGAGTGCAGTGACTGCAACCGTCAAATTCGTTAGGTACAGTCGCAGTATTTGGTGACTCTGCAGCTGCATGGAGGGCGTGGGGTCATCAGAGAGCTTTGATCAGAGCGCAGCCCATAGTGCACTGAAAAAAACTTACACCTAGAGAGTTATTTTTGGAGTTTTTCCACTCCAGTTTGGCGAATAATCACGCACCAATGGCATATAATGATTATGTTTTGTAGCGTATTCTTACTCTCTGCACTGCATTAAGGGCGTTTTAGAAAGTTATTCTTAAACCTGGTACTATAATCATCTCTTTTGTGTTTTAGCAAGTGGTTATTCTATCTTCTAATTTTATCACGTGTCCTTTTTATTCTTTCGGGTTATAAATTTATATCAGTCTCAAAGAGGCATGGGATAATTTTAGCTTAGTTCACAGTGATAAACAAGGTCATTGGAATATATTTGTACTGAACTCCCATTAGATGGTAATAAAATTGACAGCTAGAGTACTTTTATCAAAACTGCATAAAAATAAACCGCTGTGGAGTAATTAGGGTAATTTTTATACTCCAATACGGCTGATAAATTGACGCGACAGAATAAAACTATTCTCATGTAGGTGTAAAAATTACTTCCTTCGTGATAAAACTATCATGCCCGGACAATAATTTTATAACCATGGAGTAATATTATGTGGTAGCATTACTAACATTATTCTTCGGGAGTATTCGGGAGCGTATTTCAAGCAATACTGTATCACTTTCTTGATAATCCTATTCCGTTGTGACATAACTAATCTAAAAGTGATTAATCTATTCGTCCAGCACAGTATCATTCCAAGAATAATATTTTCGGAATGTCTCTCCAGTTCGCGACCATTCGCGACCGCCATTGTGCTCAAGTCGTCAGAACCAAGGCCTTCTGTCAGAGAACCGAGCAAGCGTCCCAGTCCTCGAAGGTAAGCTGAAATTACTGTATACTTTGTGTTTTGTTAGTATGACTTTACAGTAATCCGTAGTATGACCATACAATCCAAGAATTGCGTTGACGTAGATTTGCGGACGAAGATTTCCGTGATGATGAAATTCTGGAAGACAAATTGTCAAAACAAATTGACAAATTGTTGTTACAAACAAACAAAACAAATTGTTAAAACGGTCATATCCGGACATCTACTTTTTGTTGTTTCTATCCTCCCAATATCACGATAGAAGAAAACACGTTTAATGAACGTATTTATATCTTGTTCAGTGTTCACTGCCTGATAAAGCTGTCCATGAAATTAAAAAAAACGGTTCTTTTCTTTCTCAAAGGTGACTCTGCGGAAGAACAGCTTCCGACAGAAACTTAGGAACAGATTCAAGAACTGTCGAAAGCCACTGAGCATTGAGCAACGCCGTCATCGACACGGAAAGACGAGCCAGGGGCATCGTTGTGAAAAAGCGTGCGGCAGCTGAAGAGGGGATGCCGGGGATGTTTCCCAAAACGAAGAAGTCGAAGCTAGACATCTGCACCGAAACCGCCAAGTTCAGTGCCAAGCTAAAGCACGCCGATGTCACTCACAAGACATCTGTTCTCAAAGATTCCTTCCAGGTTCGGCGGATATGCACCTCACGAGCAACCGAAACCGGAAGACTGGCGAGGAGATGAAGGAGATATTCCCGGATATGTACAGCGAAGCTGCCGTAAGTGTTGCTTTATTCGGTATTTAAAAGTCTTGTCTTATGTTATGTGTGATTGAACTCGAGATTCCTTTACTAACAGGGTAGTTCAGTAGGAAAATTTGACCGCCACGGTGACGTCACAGTGGCTATGCGTAAGCGTGGTGTAGTTAAAATGTCACATTTGACATCTGTGCCTTTTAAGGGTGGATTATCGAGAAACGGGGCTTCAAACATTCATGTAAACGTGTTTTTTTATAAACTTCCCAATTATAAGCTCGCCAGTTGACCCAGATGATCACCATCTTCCTATGTATTATGAATGCGGAACTTTTTTCCCGCCAGCGCGGCAGCGTGATGTAACGGTAAAGGAATTTTGAAACTCGTTAACGGGGGATCGTTGAACTGAACTAACTATATAATTAGTGTCACCATTTTATATCCGCGCTATCAGGGAACAACAACATCTGGAAAATTTGTATAATTTTTAACCCACTCCCTCTGGTTTTTCTACCGCCTGCTGGGAAGTCATCCCCCCCTCCCATCTAACTTGGCGGGTCCTAAGCAACGTAACCGTAACGAAACGCTCAAGGCGGAGTTGGGAATCTTGTCACAAACCATGACGAAAGCATTCCAGTCATTTTTATCAGGTAAAAGATCACCAGAGGTTGACACTTGCGTGGCGCGCTTTCAAACTTTTTGTGAGCTGGAGTAACTTACCTGACCTGACCTTCCACAATGATATAATGTTCACTTGATGTTGCTTGATGTTAATTCCATTCATTAATGTGATTTTGCGATGTTTCCAGGTGTGGACTGACTTGGGAATGATCATGGGGCTCGAGGAGGACGTGAAGGAGCATGTCCTGCACAAAATCAGACATACCGCGAAGAAGTATGCCCAGACGATGATAAACGTGGAGCCGGCCGACAAAGACGGTGAGTTTTGAACGGGCACAAGCACACCTTTTCGGATGAGGTGTTCCGCTAGCAACAATCGTGCCGGGGGGGGGGGGGATACTCTTCTTCTATATAACTGGGCTCGAGCCGATCATCGTAGACAATATATTCCAGGGCTGGAATAATGTTTAGATCTGACTGATTTTCTTTTAGCGAATGTCAAGTTAGGCCCGAGGTATTTTCGATAAATACGAGGTCAGGCCAAAACATTAGCCAAGACCAAGTGTAGGAAAGTATTGCCCACGCATGCTTCTTCCTGCACGATGGAGAAATGACGTTTTACATATCCCAATGGCGTAATACATTAATAGCAGAGGGCAGGACAACTGTTTATTTTCTTGATGATTTTTTTTTGGCTTAAAGGAAGACTGTCACCTTTTTTACACAAAACGGTTTTCACTAGACCTAACCCACCTATGACCTACCCTGAAGTCTGTTTCCCGAAATTCGGCCTAGTTTGCAAGATATCCGCAATTGGACTTCAGATTAAAAGCCATCACAACTGTGTGGAATATGGGAATGTAACATTACCATGTTAAAATCCCATCTCCCACGCTTTTTGTGATGGCATCAATGTGAAGTTTGAATGCGGATATCTCGAAAACTAGGACGAATTTCGGGAAACGGACTTCAGGGTAGGTCATAGGTGGGTCAGCTCTACTAAAAACCGTTTTAAACCGAAAACCGTAAAAAGGTGGCACTTTAACGACGGGCGGGACAACATGTTGTACCTCACCTTTGGACAGCCAATCGTCGTTGGTTTTGCTATTAGTCAAAAAGTGTTGTTTAACTCTAGTGATATTGAAAAGTCATGGTTGTCTCCATCCAGGTTGTCTCCATTCATGGTTGTCTTCATTGTCTCCAAATATACCACAGTTACATGCAGTTTGATACCTACTTGCACTCCATACTTAACCATGACAGCGAAACATCGGGTACTAATTTCTTATTTCACTTAAATATTTTAACGACGTATAATTATTTTGTAATTATGCACCACGTTTAGTTGCAAGAGTGTATCGTTCTACGCAAACGTATTACGCATCGTACTACGATTTTGAGAGTGAAAAGAAATCAGGAAGAAGCGAAGAATCGTCTCCAGATACTGTAGATGGCATAGCCAGCTACTGTACGAACGCGGTTCCTTGTTTCTCTCCTAGGTTTCCTTTACGTTTATTTGTACAATATGCATTGATGCCAACTGACTGCAATATTCTTTTTCACGGCAGACGACGAGCTGCTAGCTCTACTTGCCTATGGTTGTGGAACAACCATTGGCACCTTGGCGGATCCGAGAAACGGGGTTCGTCAGGCAGGTGAGGAACTATCGGTGGACGGTGTGGTGGTCTGCCAACTGCCGGCCACCAGGTTGGAGACCGTGGCCCTAATGACGGCCGCCCACGCTGTCTTCTACACAAAGTTCACGGGGCCCTGCAGGGCCCTGTTCGAGATTCTTTACCGGAGTGTGGGATTCGATGTAAACCTATCTGGCTTATCACAGAAGGTGTGAGAGGTTACCTAGGTAGTGTAGAACTGCAGCATCGGAGATGCCCACTTCGAATGACTGGCGACCTGTGGCTCACCTGTGGTTCAAGTGACTCGTGACTTGTGGCTCACCTGTGGCTGAAGTGACTCGCAACGTGTGGCTCACACTACTGGAGCCTCTGTATTATGACTAATTCAGCTGCGGCGGTCTCAGTACGCCAATGAGTCTCAGTACGTCTTTCATAGCCCAGATCACGCTCGTTTTATATGCCATCCGTGACGGTGGTTCTGTGCGCAGATGTTATTCGTTAGCCTCAGTGTTAACCACACACGCTCGTTTTATCTGCCATCCGTGGCGGTGGTTCTGTGCGCAGATGTTATTCATTAGCCTCAGTGTTAACCACACACGCTCGTTTTATCTGCCATCCGTGGCGGTGGTTCTGTGCGCAGATGTTATTCGTTAGCCTCAGTGTTAACCATAACCCCTTGTGAGTTGTGACCTTGAACGTCCTTCCAGTGATTTCGCATTGCGGCCGGCAGAGACGAAGTTTTGCCTCCCAGTTGAGACGCCGCTCCTCAACTAGGAAGCAAAATTACGTCCCTGTCGGCCGCAATGCGCCATCACTGGAAGTGCGTCCAAATTAAGATGTACGGGGACCCGCAGTTGCTACTGTACAGCGACCCTGAGTAAATTGTCCCAGCACCCTCACCAGGAACAGCGATAAGCTGTCAGAGGGCACGCACAGAAAACCTCAGCTGCTCTTGTACAGGGACCGTTAGTCGATATCAATGCTATCAAATGTTACTGGACAGGACAGACGGCTAGAGTTGGGGTTCGTGTACAGTAGCAACTGCGGGTCCCCGTACCTGCTGATGCTCAGGTACCATTCGTTAATCAATTGTTGGTGTTTCAATACATTGTTAAAATGCATTCCTTATTTTACACTTGGTCATAATATTATCACATCACCCCGCATTATCAGGGGTGGTACTTTTACACCGGGGCTTGATTTTACCGGGGAGTTACTCCGGGGTAAAATTATCGAAAAAAGGAGTGCTTTTTGGCATGGCAATATTATTCCCCGAATGGGAGTAATTTTAGTATTAAGTTAATAAAATTATCATCTGGTGTAATTTTATCCAAAGATAGCATACTTTTATCCTCCGTCATACAATTACTCCCTAGCGCGAATAATATAAGCGTTCGGATACTAAATATATTCTATATGCTAGTTTTATTCCCAAAAACTCCCCATTTTAGGCGCTTATGCCAGGTCATAAAATTATTCGATTGCAGGAGTGCTTTTTGGCATTCTAAAATTAGAAAATGGGGAGTAAGTTTTTTTTCAGTGTGACTCGGCTGGCGTGGTCGTTACGAGTCGGCATCCGTGAGTCAGACAAGATCCCGTGCCAGACGATCATTCAGGCAGCATGGTAGACGGTAGTGAATTCAGTGAATCAAACGGTGACTCAGTGCGCTGGTCCAGGAGACGCCTATATGTCAATGCGTGCCAAATAAAATGCTAGATCATTATGGTAACACTAGCTTAATAAAAATCTACAAAGAAGTTAATTGCTTACGGAGGCAATGTTATCAGCTTGAATCCGGAGATACGGCACAGCGATACAGCACGGCTGGTCCCGGGTATGACCATTGACCTGAAAAATCTCTAACGCACTCTGCCCCCTCCTCCGCCCCCGTCGCAATAAGAGAGTAACGGGCGCACATAGTTCCTATGGATATTGTGAAGTGTGGATGTCTGCAGCTAGGGTATCTTGACCGGCCTGCAGATCTCATGCCGTTCAGAGAGGCACCGGTCCTTGACACAACACTACTCTAATCCGGGACTTGTTCTAGGGGCGGCTTACGATCAAATATTGGACGCTCGTTAAATTCTGTGGCCAGACAGGTATGCATTGGGACAGGAACGCAAGTTGTTCTATGAAAAGATGACAAGCATTTGCAAAACATATTGTCCCGTTAGTTCCTTGATTGGATTTATCGGTTCTCTTTGAGCACTGGCGGGTGTAATTTTGTACTTATTTCCGAGAGCCTGTTCTGTCCATGCTGCTGATCTTTATCCAGCACAAACATTGAGATACGGTATGGGTATGAGGTAAAACAGCAGAAAATAGAGAAGCAGAAGAGCACTGCATCACCGCGCTGAGGTCTGTATCTGCCGAATTGCTGCACCATCCGGGCCGCAGCACGGGTCTGAAATTGGAGAAGCGTTATCGTTCCACCACCGGACCGGCCGCCGACCGGTCCTCCGGTTAGTCACTCCAAACACCGATCATACACACGGTAAGGGGTGAGTCAGTCGCCACCCGAACCAGCAGAGGCGTTAGACCAGCGCCGGGCCGCCAAATCCACCGAGGTAAGCTGTTTCCGTTCACCAGAAGAAGCTGCTGTACTGATGTCACGCCGTCACCTTCGCCGCAAACACCTTTACACCAACCAACCTCTGATGGTGACGCTTCGGGTGTCTTCTCTTCTGCGGGTTTCTCCGCCGGCTCATCTTCTTCTTCAGGTTTCTTTTCGGTGACTTTGTCTTCTTCGGGTTTGCTCTCCGCCGTCTTTTCTTCATCCTCTTTTTCTGCTGGTTTCTCGTCTGATGACTTCTCTTCTGCTGGCTTCTCTTCCACGGATTTCGCCTCTGTCTCTGATTTGACCTCAGACTCGGTCGTCGCCTCGGCGGGGGTGGCAGCGGGACTCTGTTCCTCAGAGGCCAGGTCTGTTTTGGGCGGCACGGGCGGCGGGGGCTCGTCGCTACCTTCCGCCTGTGACGCCGTCTGTTTTGCACTATCTTCAGCGGTAGTTTCACTCTGAAAACAGTGCCGAGTCAGCCTAAAACAGTCCCACAGGTCCAAAACACCCAGTTAGCCGATCATCCATGTCAGCAGTGAAGCTGGACCACATCTGAAAACGCTGAAACAGAAGGCTGCTTCGGGAGGTCCCGCGTGATGTCGGCAGGGCGGACAGTAAGACGGACCGCGCGACGGTGTCACGACAACGAAGCCATGCACGACCAAAACAGTGTACACGGACACGTCACGATTCAGTGCCAGACACAAAATGTGCACAGAAGAATATACATACATGGACAATGGGCACGTGCGTGTGTGCTTTACGATTCATATGGAAGGTATTCGACAAACGGATAAGTGAATTTGGACATCCACCGCACGTTCATCAATTCACAAGGATGTTTCGGTGCAAACGGTTTGCAGCGGACAAGAACTTCTCCCGTCCCGGTTTTCTGTTGAAGTGTAGGCGACATAGAACCATATACCGGGTGGCCCAGAAAAAACGTTCCGAACTTTGGAGGCCTATATATCAAATTTGAGTGCAAATAACGAGACAAAATTTTCAGCAAGTTTGCGTCATTTCTTTGCGCATTGGTATGCTAAATTACAACACTATACCATCATTTTCAAGTTGGCAATCTTGAGTTGAATTAAGCAAGACGTTTTTGCTTTTTTTGCCGATGTCAAACGATAGTGATGATTGAGTTAGACGCCCCATGTTATAAAATAGAATAGAAAAATAGAGCATGTGAATGAAACCAACACGTATGTTCTTATTTTAAATATTTGTGTCTCACTTATGTGCCAAATATTCAAATACTGAGCCAAAATGGTGCTCATGGATGCCATTCGTTTTAACACCAAATCATGATTCGTGGCACGGTGCATGGATTACTGCTGATTACCCTCCTTTCAGTAGATCAAACAGTAAATCGACCGGATAAGGAAAACAAACTAAAACAGACTAGTTCCTGTGCCAGAAGACCACATAACATTTTATGAAAAACAACATTGCCAGCAGATGACAAAAAAGAAAACTGGTTGAAAAGCTACCTTTTCCCAGGAATGTCAGCCAGGAAAGCATTTGAGCCACAAGATGGTTAGAAAACTGGAAACTTCTTCCGATGCCACTGGCACAGAGCCATCGTGGTTGCCTGATGGAATGTGTCATCCTGAGACCCGAACCATCAATGAGACTAGCTGCCAGTAGCAGCCATGGCTCTAGGCCGTGGTGCCGAGGGGTGAAAGTGACCTGTTCACTCACATTTTTGAGTAAACATCGGAGCAAAAAAGTAATTTTTACATGGCATGCTTGAAACACGAACCGTTTAAAAAGTAATTTACCGAACACCATGAAAATCACACCATTTACTGAAAATGTGTGCCGCATTGACTATTCGAAGTTTCAATGTTGTATCTTTATCACTTTCTGAGAAATATTGATTTGAAGTTGGGAACGTTTTTTCTGGGCCACCCGGTATGTGTTTACGGGAGACACGGTGTAAGTTCACAGATGACTGATGTGTCTTGTCTGGGTTGGACGAGTCGGGTTAATGTTTTATAGATCTGTCGATGTTTTGCCGGTTCTGCTCTGTGATGAAGCTGCAGTCGCTGACGACCGTGCAGGGGCTACGGCGAAGCTTTATCTATGCGCATATGGCTAGAGGTTGTGGTCGGGGTCCGATAACCTAGTTAATAGTCGCTAACTATAGAGTCGATTGACAAAAATTCGGGGCCACAATCTGCATTCGCAAAGAGGAAGAAAATTGGACACTTCGATAATGTTATAAAATATCTAACACTTCCAACGTGGTTGAAACAGTTCTTTGCCGCTGTACGACGGGCACTCAATCACCTTGTTCCGTTGTTTGCGCTGCTAAAACCCGTTGAAGGTCGCAAACCAAACACCAGCTGGGAAGATAAACAAGTTATCTGATATACGGACCTGACCCTGCATCTGTCAAATGCAGGTTCCTCCAAAGCAAACAACAAAACGTTGTTGCTTCTATCGCTCATAAAACTTCCAACCAATCGTCAATCATTTCATTTACACTGGCTGCTGTGATTCAGACACTAACAGCTCATTTGAAACATGCCCTAGATTTCCGATAATTTGCACAAACATCCCCGTGTCGATGTTTTCCAACAGGCGCCTCCCCATCAACACTCGCCTGGCCGGCCCGGTTCTCGGTGTTTACTGCATTGGGGCGTGCCCAGAGCGGCGGCTGGTGGGCCTTCCACGAGCAGAACCGGTCCCAGAGCCACCAGCCGTCTGCCTCGGCAAGGCACGGCCACCATTGTTCCTGCGATTAGCTTCTGAAGAAGAGAACGCGGCCTGAAGAGGATAGTTATGCAACACCTTCACCTGTTTCATGATCGTGCGACTCAATGGGGCTGGGCGCACGCTGCCGCTGTTGGGAGTAGCTGTATGAAGCTCATTGTTTCGGGGCCGCGCTGCGGGACGGTGGATCGTGGTGGGGATTTTTGGCACGATGCCAGACACGGAGGCCTCGGAGAGGCCGCGGTGACCGCGGGTCGGTCGGTGAGGTCGTATGACGTATGTCCGGGGCTGAGTGCGGAGACATAGCCGTGCCACCGCCAAAACTTTGTCAACGACCGTGCAGTGCCAGTACACCGTTGATGGTGCAGCATGGACATCGAATTGAACAGCGGCTACAACAGAGTTGCAGAGCCTGCCATTGGCACTGGTGAAAAGCTCAGCCGGCCGGTGCGACGGCTCGGCTCATATCCCCGAACCTTCCAACGCCCACTCCTCAAAATAAGAAGACATTCAAGACGACCACGCCTCTGGGCGCTTCATGATGCTGACCAGAGCGAAGATCATGACGGCATGGCCAGAGCAGAAACCAGTCAGCACGCCTGGCGGGCGCGGTGGCACCAGGCACCCCTGGTGCAACCAACGCCCACGCGACCAGCATTCGCCTCCACCGGGCCCGGTCAGAGGCACCGGTCATGGCAGGGCGGTCAGTATGCAAGGCTCATAGGACCCCGTGGCTCCTCGTTCTGGCACGATACGAGAAGAGAGGAGCATGCCTCGGCGCAGCGCTAGGAAGCGTCCAGGCATGATGAATGGTAAATAGTTACATGGTTGAGCAGCACTTACCGTCTTTGTGTTATGGTAAACAAGAACGAACGAGCGATGTAAATATGCACGAGAAGAATGCAGTGTACCTAAAGCTCGAATACACTAAAGAGTAAAAAAGCAAAATGACTCAAGACAAACGGATGCAATACCGTTTAAGATTTGAAGAGATGTCGGCCTGTGAATGCCGACTGACGGCTTTCAGGCCCTATCAAACGTTCATGCGCTAAAAAATGGCATGTGTTGGCTGCGAGCCATGCCCATATGCGAAACACGAACTGGCGTTCTCAGATCCGAAAAACCAATTAGAACAACTGATACAAACAGGTAAAACCCAAAGCCGACAAATAAAGCGACCGCCGTTCATCTCCAGCTTTCCTCCAGCAGCACGTTTGATTGCCGAGGCGGCATCTCGGCAGTCACGCATCATCCCACCCCAGACAGGGACCACGTCAGACCTCCAAGGTCGCCCCTGCATCAGCCAGCCCAGTCACCTTCAGTTCAAGACAGGGCCGCCGGCAACGCCTGAGAGCCGAGACTGTGGGCGTTGGGCAGCGAACGACCACACGAGACTTGACGTCACACCGACCAGTCATGCATTTCTGGACAAACAGACGTCATACAGGCGATTCGAGACGCTGTGCCATCACACAACATGCGAACAGAGAATAACACAATAGCTGATTGGTTCGCGTTAGGGTTGCCGCCTTGGGCCCAAAGTTGACTAATTCGCCCTCCGCACGACCAAACAATACAGACTCGCCTATGATGCAAGCCAGCTGTACCAGGTGGGGGAACACACACAGACGGCTTGCACATGCAGTGAATGGAAGTTTACAAAGTTATATAGTCGCGTAGTTCCGTGCGGAGGCTTGCCAGGTGACATGATCCGTACGATACCTTGCCATTGCAACCAGCTTTTGGCTATTTGCGCGAATTAAAATGTAAAATAGACGATACGATTTATGTAACTAAAACACGGTGCGAACCGAGAGCTGGAGCGACCGGCCGCTAGGGAGATGATAAGAGGAACGAGTTTATAGGCATCGGAAGCGGGCAATCAGGCCTTCTCGAGTGTTGCATGATGTATCCGGGCACTGCAAGATAAACAGTTTGACGATTGCCATGTTCCCGGTTCGTTTCATGGAACTGTTACTGAGCAGAGTTGATGGGTCAGAAGACGTTGCAAGTTTTTGTCTTCTATTCACTGCCACTGCCACCTTTCCACCTGCTCTGCACTGCATAATTCCGTTCTCTGCGAACTAGCCGCAGCCCGACGCCGGCGGGCGCCCAACTAGGCAAAAACGGCGCAGAAAAACCGGCCGTGGCCGCCGGCGGCCGCTGGGGACGATCGGCGCTGGCTGCACGCGGCGGGCCGAGCCGGCCCGCGGCCTCCAGCCCTCAGCTGACCGGCCCGGCCGGCTGGCCGGCTGGAATGCGCCGACCGTCCGGGCGGCCGCCGCGCCGGGCTGGGAGGACGGCCGGCCGACACGGGACCTGCACGCCGCTGGCGGAGGATGGTGCGGCGTCTGAGCAGGCAGCAGAGAGCCTGTCGGGGCCGGGTGACCGAGGCCGCGTGATGACCTCATGACGATCACGGGCCCGGGGAGGCAGCCGATCATACTCAGCGCGACTGCTTGAATTTAGCATGAAGTTTGAGATGAATGTTAGCTTTAGATTTCGTAGAAAAGTGGGAAGCCTGGAGAAAGGCTAGCATAAACCCGCTGACTGATACTTGTTCACCGCCGGTTCTTTGATGATGAGTGCAACATTAAACAGATATCGTTTCGCTGCCAAGTCTGTCGCACCTTGTCGCCAGCCATGGCTAAGAGAATATATGTAGCTCAAGTCGTCGCATCTTGGAGATTGGAAAGGTCCGCGACCGCTACGTTATACTCAGCTCCTACCACGTCCA